TAGATTTTGTCCCAAAACCGTGCAGCCCAAACTGCAGTGTTCCCACAGAAGCACGAAGACTGAACTAAACATTCCCATCGCAGCGTCTGAACTGCGTCTGTGTGAGTGTGTCATGTGTTCTGTTTAGACTGGCTGAGAAACTCAAACCCTGACCCATCAGCCACTGGGAAAGAGGAAATAGCATTGAAACGAGCGGCTCGTATCAGCTGAATCTTTTACCATGGTGAGGAGTCATTACCTTGACCCATGAGCGCTCCTCGCGGGGCCTCTCTGGCCGAGCCGAAGCCCAGCTCTCTGCACACCACGCTGGCCGCTGTTAGATCCCACAGATGGTCACACACGGTCCCCCACTTACCCTCGCGGAGCACCTCCACCCGGCCCTCGCCCAGCCGCGCACCGGCCTTCAGACGCACCTCCGCCTGCGGGAACACACAGACACGTGAGCCGCGTCCCCGGAGCCAGTGCTCACAGCTGGAGCTGGACTGTGTGCGGCACTCACGTTCAGAGGGGGCGGAGCCTGTGGGTGTCTGGAGGCGGAGCTTCTGGAGAACTGAGCGCCGGGAACGCAGCGCACCACTGCATGCATCGCTCCGGCGCAGGGGACGTCGTGCCGCGGGACGGAGAGCTGCGCCCGACACTGCGTCAGAGACACCTCCGAGCCCGAACACTGAACCCGCTCGACCCAGAACGCCTTCTTACTGACCGCAGACCTGCAGACACACACACATCACTCTGAGAGTCCGTTCATACACACAGCACTGATAACAAACAGCACATGAAGCCGTACCTTGTGGCTGGATCCTCCATCTTTGAGTCCCACAGTTTCCTGAAACGACACAAATGAGCCAATAAATAGGATTGGACTAAATAAACAGGCTTCGCATGAGCGCCAGAGCTTGTTTGTGTGTGTCAGTCACATACAGCTGTGGTCAGAATTATTGGGCCCCTTGGTAAAAAACTCACAAAAATCATTTATTTTCTAAAGAGATTTAACTCCACTTTCAACTGTTCTATCTCAATGAAAGGTTAGATTTTTGTGAATTTTTTGAATGAAAGATCAATTGGATAATCAATGGAGATTTATTTTTACAGCCTTCTTTGCTCATAGGGGACCAATAACTCTGACCATGACTGTATATATATATATATATATA